GTATGAATAATACTATTAGGGTTTCATTAATACTACAAAACGTTTTTGTAAACGATATAGAACTTTGTTTTTGCACATACAATAATAACTATATTTATCAATGCGTTTCTGCATCTGGAAGAGTGTTATTTTTATAAACATAACGTAAATTTACTTTATAATTAATGCAAATGGTATTACTGAAAGCAGGGTTTGTAGATAAATAATTTTTATAAAAATGATCTTTTTGCCGCAGCAATGGGGTAGTTAAATTTTTTCTGACCTATATATAGGTCAGAATAAAACCATAAAAAGTATACTTTTTATGGTTTTATTCAAGGCGTTTTGTAATATTAAACATTTCTGTGAAATCAGAATTTCAATTGAGTTTACCGTTTTCGAGATATTTACAAAAAATATAAATTTTTATGACGTCACAAACCTCGCCATGTGACCAACATTCTAAGATTTCTATTGGTTGAAAATTACCCTGTTGTCAAGTTGTCTTGTTAATGATTTCATTCGGTTATGTCAGAAAATACCCGAAGAGGTTATGTACAAATACTGTCACTGTCAGTTGAGTGAAAGATGGTCACCAAATTCATTAAGTACCTATCTTCCTTATTACGAGGTATCATATTACTGTTTGATATTTTAGAGTCCAAAATATATCTAAAAGAATATAAAGAACTAGGCATTATACTAATGAAATGCATTTACGACAAAATATTATAATTATAGGTAGGTACTTACTTTATTTGTTTAAAAGCTCCAATGTTCAATGTAACCAACCATTCCACAAGATTCCTCTGCTTTGGAGTCCGTTATTAATAAATCACTTATCTAATATCAATTACAAATAACATAACAATAACATTGATTTTCAATAATCTAAATTTAAAAAAAAACATAACCCGAAAAAAAGAAACGTCAAAAAATCAATTCTTCTTCTTCTTCTCAACTAAAATTATAGATCAAGTGGTTTTAAAACTAAAATATTATAACGTGGCGCCATCTATCGTAAGAATCTGAAACTAAACACACTGGCAACCATAGAAAAAGCTGGCAACGTTGTCAATAGCCTAGTGACGTAATTAGGAGATTTTTTTTTGTAAATATCTCGAAAACGGTAAACTCAATTGAAATTCCGATTTCACAGAAATGTTTAAAATTACAAAACGCCTTGAATAAAACCATAAAAAGTATAGGTCAGAAAAAATTTAACTACCCCATTGTTGGTGTAGATTTTACATCTTGTAAACATTTTTTAATATTTTCCGGATATTTTTCTTTTTTGACAAAAGCATTTTTAAAATTTTAAAAAATTCATATAAATAAGACAACAAAAATTCAAATATACAAATCTATATTTATTATGCACAAAATTTACAAAAAAAACCTACAATCCTTAAGAAATCTTCTACTCAAAAACTTAATATCCGAATCCGCCAAGTCCGTATCCGCCATATCCGCCGAATCCGCGGCCGTATCCGCCATATCCGCGGCCGTATCCGCCTCCGTATCCGCCTCCGTATCCGCCTCCGTATCCGCGTCCGTATCCGCCGTATCCGTATCCGCCTCCGTATCCGCCTCCGTATCCGCCGCCTCCGTATCCGTGGTGATGATGGTGGCCATACCCGAATTGCGGAGCTGGGGTGGCGTAGCACAGGGCTACCAACAAGCACAAAAGAAATACGGCCTGAAAATAAGAATTAAAACTGTCAAACAATTCGATCCAGTAGGCTGTATAGTTTTATTGGGTTGGCAAAGGTAGTTGTCAAAGTGACGTCTGTCAGAATCAGTGATTATATTTGGCAGGTGACATTAGGGTGATTCATTTCCGCAAAGTTTTTGTTTTTTTTCGGTGCTCAAGCAGAATATTAATCTGCATTTAGAAAAAAACATTCTCACCAAGTTTGAGCTCTTAATATTAATTTTAAGCACTTACTATTTAAATTTAAAGTTTTACCGTTTAAAATGCATGTAAAAAATATTTTTTTTTTTCAAATTTCTAATGCTTACCCACCTTTGACAATATTGCAAATCGGTTTAAAACACCTTATGGGCAATTTCACGTTCTTTAAAATTGATTTTGAGTTTTTTTTGTAACTCGCATTGGTTCACCAGTAGAAGTCGTCAAAGGACAGTTTTTGAAAAAAATCGTTTTTTTTTTATTTTTTCGAGCAAATCGCCAAAAGTAGTGAGAAAGTTTTCCAACCAATATTTAATGAATTTACTGCCATTTTTATAACTGAAAACGTAAGAAATTGATAAATACCAACCCATAATGTTATTTAGATTGATTTTTTCTATTTATTATCATTATATTTCCCTACACTAAGAACTTTTTTAAAATTATTATGATTTCTCACTCATAATGAATATGAAAACAACACTTAAATTCATAAAAAAACAACAAAACTTTAATCGGAATATACAGAAGGTTATGTAACATATTTCAAATTTCGCTTCAAAAAATTAAATAATCTTTATTTATATTTTTTTGCTATATGACAGAAATGTTGAAAAATTGCAAAATCCGCGTTACAATTTTCTTATTGTTTTTTTATGAATTTATCTCTTGTTTTCATATTCATTATAAGTAAGAAATTAATAATTTTAAAAAACTTCTTAGTGTAGGGAAATATAATGATAATAAATAGAAAAAATCAATCTAAATAACATTATGAGTTGGTAATTATCAATTTCTTACGTTTTCAGTTATAAAAATGGCTGTAAATTCATTAAATTGGTTGGATAACTTTTTTTATGATTTAGCCCTTTTTTCTCCATACTTTTTGCGGTTTGTTAGAAAAAATTTAAAAAAAAAACGATTTTTTTCAAAAACTGTCCTTTGACGACTCCTACTGGTGAACCAATGTGAGTCACAAAAAAAACTCAAAAGCAATTTTAAAGAGCGTGAAATTCCCCATAAGGTGTATTAAACCGATTTGCAATATTGTCAAAGGTGGGTAAGCATTAGAAATTTGAAAAAAATATATATTTTTTACATGCATTTTAAACGGTAAAACTTTAAATTTAAATAGTAAGTGCTTAAAATTTATATTAAGAGCTCAAACTTGTTGAGAATTTTTTTTCTATATACAGATTAATATTTTGCTTGAGCACCGAAGAAAACAAAAACTTTGCGGAAATGAATCACCTTCATAGCAATCTTGATTTTGTAATAATAAAAATAAAACCTAAATAATGTATAATAAAATTATTACTTGTTACTTACCTTGATCATTTTGAAGTTGTTGTTGTCTTAGTGTATTAGACTATACTTTTGTATCCAGCGCATTCTCTATTTATACTAGACGAAATTTCGTTTTTTGATTTTGTTTTTTATTTAAGTTGATTTAGTTGACATTTGATATTTTGGAATTTATATCTTCTATCGGGTTTTTACACTGATTATATTAATTAATGATCTTAAATACAATTAAATGATTACCTAATGTCTCGAAAATTTGTTTTTAAAAATATTGGTTCCCAACAAAATAGAACAAAATAAGTCCATTCAGATAAACCACGGTGCTGTTCTGAGAGGTGATTTTTGGACTTTCTGTGAAACCAAATTTTTTTATATTCTTGTTAATTAGGTCATAACTAAAATTTTAGGAGCAAAATAAAAAAATTGACGGTTTGAATTGTTTTAATTGGCTGTTTATTAAAAATATTATGCACTCTTTCAATTATCCAATTAAAACTAGCGATTTAATTTAAATATTTAATATTTGCATAACTAAAAAAAAGGTTTTTACAATTTTTTTTATATATTTTACTGTTTTGTTGTAATAAACGTTCAAACTTTTAATCTAACCTTTGACGTATACATTTATGTTCCCTTAATTAATATATCCTTAAAGGTTGCCATGAAACTTTTAAAAATTTATTTGACGTTTGAATTGTCATTTTCAGTATACGTATTCTATAATTTTTGTTTAGTTTTTAAAAGTGTTTTTTATAAACAAAAATCAAAAATTGTAGTAAAAGTTACGAAGAAATTCATGAAATTTAACTAAGGACCGGTTTATTCATCTTTAGTAAAGTTTATGGGGCCGATAACTTTCATGTCTTGGCAATATCTAGTATCCAAAAAAATTATTTGTCAAATAAATCAAAAATTAATAAATCGGCCCTAAATAAAAAGTGGCACCCTTCGAATTATTGTTTAATAAATGTATACTATACATTTAAGCTTAAATTAAAACTTTAAACGTGTATTACAACAAAACAGTAAAAGAAATAAAAAATGTATAGACCTTTTTTTAAGAAATTAACTAATCTTTAATCTGATTTAAAAAGTTATGATAATATTTAAATAAAATCGCAAGTTTTAATTGGAGAATTGAAAGTGTGCATACATATTTTTAATAAACATTCAATTAAAACAAAATTAACCGTCAAATTTTTTTTATTTTGCTCTTAAAATTTTAGTTATGACCTAATTAACAAGAATATAAAAATAAATTAGGTTTCACAGAAAGTCCAAAAATCACCTCTCAGAACAGCACCGTGGTAAACTGAAGTAGACGAATAGGGATCTTTACTTTATTAAGACAAACTACTTTTTTTGTTAAATTTATTAAACAAATTTCTGATTGTACTTACCAGCAAAGTTCGCGTCTATTTGTTGCTGCTTGAGGCGAGAGAATTCGAGCTTGGGCTTGCTCTAATTGGTGGATTTATATCACATGACTGAAGATGTAGTGGGTGGCAGTTTGTGTTGCAGTCTGTGTAGAGCGGGTGTTTTTGTTTTGGTTCAGATTAAATTATTTATTTCGCAATTTGCTTTGATATTTTTTTGTTAATTTTTTTATTTTTAATGGTTTAGTAGGGCCATGGAAATTTATTCGTATTTAGAGAAAATTAACCTCACAAGCCGCCACTGGCCAGAGCAATTTTTATACAACATGGTAATATCGTATACTAGCTCTATAGAGCTATATTAACTTATGATGTTGAAAAAGCGTAAGAAGTTAAATTTGATTATTGAAAAAATATGTTTTTTTCAGGTCGTTCGTTATCCTTTTTAAGTGGAGAGAAAGGAAATAACAAGGAGGGTGGAATGGAGCAAATGTCCAACAATTTCCTGACAAGTTTATGTGAAAGGAACGAGAAAAATGCTTTGTTATTGGTGAGTATCCATCATTTTATTTTAATACTATATTATTCTATTAATTTTTGTTAAATATAATTTATTAAAAAAAATACACACTGTTCAAAATTTCATGACCATTTTAACACCAAATTAAATTCAACTTTCACACAGTAACTATTAAAATAAATTTAACCTGGTGTAAATTGAACTCCATTTCAGTGTTAAATTAAATCATACTACACAAAAAAAAAGGAAAAAAAGGAAAAAAAGGAAACATGAAGTTCCTTGACGCATTACTAATATATTACCAGAGGTATTATTCCAGAAAATTGAACCTTCAACTCGCTAGAGATAATGTTTTTAGTGCGTTCCACCAACTTAAAATACTTCAAGTATTGACAGCTGTTTCCACCTTTTTAAGGTCTCTTTAGTATCGAACAACTTGTAGTGTCACACCAAAGCAAGGACTACCTGAGCTTATATACTCTTTATGTAAGTCAACAGAGGCGAGATTTAAGAACATCACGTGATCCACACCGCCTTTGCCGCGATCGGTACATACTATGCAACCAGGATTGCACGGCAAATTGTTTTATTCGTTTTAACAGAGTGCTTTAGGTTGAAGTTACTCTTATTTTACAAACAACATATTTAGTAAACTGAACCATACAGTTGGTTGGTTTCAATAAAGTTTTCTGTGTTAATCTAACCAATTAAAAAAAAATAACTATCTGGTTTAGTACCGTCTAACTAATCTTTGTTTATATTAACTAAATTAATATAGTTAAATTAACTATTCCTTTTTTTCTGTGTAGGTGCACTTCTCAAATATTTTTAGATAAACACCGTTTTGGTGTTTGCTGTATATAACATTTTCAACCATAATTCATTGTGTTTATATAACACCGCTTTTCTATGTAAGAAAATAATCTTTGTAATTTCTTTGTTTGAAGGAAAGTGTATTTACCGACTGTCTTTTTTGGGAGGGAACTAAATTTAACACTATTGATTGAATTTGAAAATCATCAAACACCTCACGTCCGCACTTAAGCGTCTGGATAATTAGACCGGATGTAATAAAATCCGCCAATAAAATGCTGCATTAGCCCGGTTCATATTTCCTTCAGTTTGCTTTATCCAGCGTCTTCTTCTTCCACGAACTTTCGTTTAAATTTTTTCGCTGACCAAAAACGAAAAGTGAGTGAAGGGGAGAGCAAAGAGGTTAAAATAAATTAAATTATTCACCCTTCAGGCTGCCGCAGCATCAACAAAAAATTAGGCAATGTACTTTTTTGCTGAGGGTGTTATTACTGGAGCAGAAAATTTAAATTCGAGTAAAAACATCTTTCTCGACAGGCAATCATTGCCCTTTTTATTCTTGTGCAACCAAGATTTATCATTTCTGTTTTGATCTTAAACGGCACATTTTTGTGTTGGTTGTCTTATCAGGGAAATTTCTTTTCTTGTTGTTGATACTGTAATTACTTACTTAAATAATAATGCTTGGTCGTACATTGTAATTGTAATGATGCCTTAGCCTTTATATTGGCAAGACCCTGTATGACTTTTTTGTTACAAGATAATACAAAAATTATAAGTAAAAACTCTTACTTAAAATAAATTTAAAAGTACCTCATATAAATGATAAGATGTTTACAAAATCTGTATCTTAAACGATTCCTGAGATACAAGTTTTGTAGAATCAAATAGACTATGAAATTTTAATTTCAACAGTATGAATTTTTATACGTTTTGGGCTAAAGTGAAATTTATAGTTTTTAATATTGTTTTGATGTTTTATATTTTTTATTAAAATACTTTTTAATAGGGTTTTGTTAGAATTAATAGTTATTTGTTTTACAAGTGTTGAAAAGCGACTTTTTCATGCGAGTTTTTAAGTTGCCCACGAGGCCGTTAGGCCGAGTGTGCATTAACACGATCTTGAAGAAAGCTTTTCTCACAAGTATAACACAATGTTTTTTCTGCGACCCTTTTATTTTTTATAATTTTTAAATACAAAACAAAATAACCTAAAAACTTTTTTGACAGCTGAATGTCAAACGATGCTGTCAATTTCTTTTCACACAGACCTGTCACTTTTCACACAGAAAAGTCACTTTACATTCGTGTTTTGCCTTGCCAATGAAAAGATTCATTTTCTAAGCAACGATGCCATCATGAAAAGTGACTTTTACATAGTGGTCGTAGAAAAAAGTTTTTTTATTTTTTATTTCTTTATAAGCATACAATTTTAAAGAAAAATTCACTACTGTTGAGCGTTTAGTAAAGAATCTGCCTCTTAAGCGTTCTCCAAATATTTCTAAGTAATTAATGTGCCACTCAAATATTATTGTGTTAAGAGGTCCTAAGAATATTCTCACTGGCCTATAGGCAGGTTCTTAGAAGGTGCAAAGTTTAGTGGTAAAAATTAATCCACTCTAAACATATGCTTAGAATGTTGAGAAAGTAATTGCTATAGAAAGTTCATTTAGGAATATTCCTGGAACATTCTGTTAAACATATTCAGTTCAGTTTAATAATAGTAAAATATACCATAATCTACGTATAAAGGTACCTATACTTAGTATTAAATACTAAGTAAAAAACACAACCCAAAATATTTTTGTATAGTTATTTCTTAAATTAAAACAATATTCGATAACAAAAATAGTTTTACTATAGGTATCTAAATTATCCGGCTTTTACATAAAATCTTCTATCCAAATTTTTCATATTTAATTACCTTAAATTTATGCAGATTTTAAATCATATTAATTATTGGTTTAGGTTAAAATAACCATTAAAAAAATAAAATTGACACGATTTGTAAAATTAACTTTGCAGTTATGTAAAGAAAAAATAACATATATTAATATTCTTTTACACATTCTGGTGCGTTAAAAATTAACATTAGTAATAAAAATCTAAAAAACTAAAAAATTTGAGTTTACTTTCTGGGACACAAGAAATATGTTAAATATAACATATAAATTGTTTACTGTGTATGTTTCCCAATGAGAATAGAGATCTCGATGTACCATTTGGTTACAACAGGTCGGGGCACCTCCGAACATTTTTAGACACATGGTTTTCTGAGAAATGGAGACGATGACCGATAGAGTGGCCCGCGAGATCTCCAGTTGAGAGATCACACGAAATCATGCGAAAGTGGGAGGAGCTACGCAAAATCGTACAAAAGTTTACAAAAGCGTATTCTCGAAACAAGGGATTGATCATTTGTGATTTTTTCGGACAAAGTGAACATCGCTTGGTCGGAAGTAGACGAACGTGTGAATATTAGACAATCGCCACATAAATATAACCTTAAAAGCAAATGCCATATTAGAGTGTCTTATTTGTTATTTTTAAACAATTAATTTTGACTAAATTGTATTAAACAATTTTATAAATGATCTTTAAGATGCAGAAGAACAAAATTGATAAATAACGCGATTGTAACCAGTGGCGGATTTACCAGCAGGCTGAGTAGGCTCGAGCCTAGGGCGGCAGATTTTGGGGGCGGCAAATTTGGAGAACGATTTTTTTTTACCTCATAGAAATCAAAAAGATTTTTCTATGACGGTTTTCTGATGTCTTACAGATAGAAGTCTGCAACAAATTTTGTCGATGACTTTTCTCTCTCACTTGTCATTGCACATTCCGAGAGTAGCAAACTTCCATATTCTAGAGTAAAACAGCTAGTTCGCCGCCCCTCAACAAGTAATCGGCATCTCGCCTCTGCGCCCTTTGCCCACACTTTTTATGAGTGAAAAGAGCGAAATTGTAAAAAATATGCCCCCCTTCCCACTAACAACCCATACATGCCAGTCTTACTACTGGTTGGAGGCTACGAACTGGATGGTTTGTATATAATTTTTCGATTTTTATTCGAATATAATGAATAATTTAGTGAATAATTTTACCGATTTCAATTTTATGTATCGACTATTATGTGTTTCACATGCACTAGTAGCTTCAGAAAATTCGATTGGAATTCAAAAAAAATAGCGATATAGTCTTAAGTCAAAAAAATATTTTTTTCCCGAACGCGGTATTTTTTTAACTGTTTAAAAGCGCAATAAAGATTATTTATTCACGTTTACCAAAGTTCATTATTGTGTAAATAGCATACATTACCCCGCCCATGCATGATTGAGCTTTGATTAGCTCAAAAATATACCGAAAAATTATTTTACGTGCAATTTCAACGAAATTGTTGCATTGTAAAAATAATGTATGATATGACAATTGTTGAGGCAAGGGCGGCAAAAACTATTCAGCCTATAACTTGAAAATTTGTAAATCCGCCACTGATTGTAACAATAGGTTGGCAAGTCAAATTTGATTGAGATGAAATTTAAAACAATCCGTGCACTTGCCAACGAATTTGATTGGCTACGAAATGCGACAACGCCGCAAAATGTTTCTCACCTGAAATCTCCCATCACATACTTTCGAGAATACGACTTTTCGGTATTATTCGATGACGGTTGGATGTGAAATATTTCATTACCGAAGTGATCTTTCACTTCGCTTATTTTGGAGTATAGCGCCTGATAGCACAGTTTATTCTAAGAATGTTTTTTAAACCTTCCATTGAGAATATTCTTAGGATCATGCTATTTTTCTTCTAAAGAACATGCTTAGAAGAAATATAGCATAATCCTAAGAATATTCTCACTGGCCTATAGGCAGGTTCTTAGAAGGTGCAAAGTTTAGTGGTAAAAATTAATTCACTCTAAACATATGCTTAGAATGTTGAGAAAGTAATTGCTATAGAAAGTTCATTTAGGAATATTCCTGGAACATTCTGTTAAGCATATTCAGTTCAGTTAGGTACCTATATAATAGTAAAATATACCATAATCTACGTATAAAGGTACCTATACTTAGTATTAAATACTAAGTAAAAAACACAACCCAAAATATGTTTGTATAGTTATTTCTCAAATTAAAACAATATTCGATAACAAAAATACTTTTACTATAGGTATCTAAATTATCCGGCTTTTACATAAAATCTTCTATCCAACTTAAATACAATGAAAAATGTTTTTTTATGAAGAACTATTTGGTTTTTTCTTTTATGAAAAATTATTTTATAAGGAAATATTTTGTTTTTTAATATTTTATTTTGTTAAAAATAAATATTTATTAATTTGTATACCGATTTTTTATATCTGAATTAACATTTTTATGTATAATATTCCTAACTATCTTCAACTTCAATCTAATCTGACTTATCCCACAAAATTTTACAATTTTACTTTTTATGAAATAATGACGTCATACAACTTATGGTTTAGAGGTCAAATTGTTTATTTAATATTTTTAAATAAATATGTCGCAAAATTTTTTAAGGGGACAACAAATACATTTCACTGTCATATTATGACAGTGAGGCGAATTTGTCGCCTCCTGAAGAATTTTACGAATGTAGAATTAGAAACATATTAGAACGTGGGTATCTGACATATTTGAAAATATTCTTAAAAGCTTCCTAGAAGAACATTCCAAAAAACGTATTCTTAAAATGTTCTTAGAATGCTTTTTAGGAAGGTTTTAAGAAGCTTCTAAGAATCTAATTGCATCATTAAAAGGGTACCTATTGAATGTTTTAAAAGTCCCTAAGAACATTCTTAGCAATAAGGGAAGGTTCTAAGAATATTCCATTATTCCGGGTCATATCTTCTTAGAAGATTCTTAGAATCAAATTTTGCTATCAGGGACCTCCATCGATTATTTCTTATGGGGCTATTTTTTTGGAAATTGGAATTTATTCAAAATCTTTCACACATTTTTTTATTCCAGGGTCAAACATGCCTGAAGCAGCAATGTACATCAGATAAAGACTGTCCGGATAAAACCAAGTGCGTTTGCGATGGAGCATGCGGAAAATCTTGCGTTGACCCAGGTCAGTAAACAAATCCCTCAACCCCCATTATCGCGGCACGTAAACACACGATTATTTTTAGATTTAATTTGTCCGTTGCCGGACGAGGTCCCTTTCGCTCAGTTGACTTCCAACGGGCGCGCACACGGAGCCACGGCCCTCTACACGTGTCATCAAGGATATTTCATGGTTGGAACGGCGACGAGGTCCTGTCAGGGAGACGGGAAGTGGACGGGAGACAGCCCCGTCTGCACTGCAAACGGTCAGTAGCTTTTATTTATTGATATTTTGTTATCAATGGGGTAGTTAAATTTTTTCTGACCTATACTTTTTAGGCGTTTTGTAATTTTAAACATTTCTGTGAAATCGGAATTTCAATTGAGTTTACCGTTTTCGAGATATTTACAAAAAAAAATCTCCTAATTACGTCACTAGGCTATTGACAACGTTGCCAGCTTTTTCTATGGTTGCCAGTGTGTTTAGTTTAAGATTCTTACGATAGATGGCGCCACGTTATAATATTTTAGTTTTAAAACCACTTGATCTATAATTTTAGTTGAGAAGAAGAAGAAGAATAGATTTTTTGACGTTTCTTTTTTTTTGGGTTATGTTTTTTTAAATTTAGATTATTGAAATTCAATGTTATTGTTATGTTATTTGTAATTGATATTAGATAAGTGATTTATTAATAACGGACTCCAAAGCAGAGGAATCTTGTGGAATGGTTGGTTACATTGAACATTGGAGCTTTTAAACAAATAAAGTAAGTACCTATAATTATAATCATATTTTGTCGTAAATGCATTTTATTAGTATAATGCCTAGTTCTTTATATTCTTTTAGATATATCTTGGACTCTAAAATATCAAACAGTAATATGATACCTCGTAATAAGGAAGATAGGTACTTAATGAATTTGGTGACCATCTTTCACTGAACTGACAGTGACAGTATTTGTACATAACCTCTTCGGGTATTTTCTGACATAACCGAATGAAATCATTAACAAGACAACTTGACAACAGGGTAATTTTCAACCAATAGAAATCTTAGAATGTTGGTCACATGGCGAGGTTTGTGACGTCATAAAAATTTATATTTTTTGTAAATATCTCGAAAACGGTAAACTCAATTGAAATTCTGATTTCACAGAAATGTTTAATATTACAAAACGCCTTGAATAAAACCATAAAAAGTATAGATCAGAAAAAATTTAACTACCCCATTAGCCCTGTGTAATTAATTTATGAAATTACTATTCTATACAGGGTGTGCTGATAGCAATATTTTCTGGCTGCAGGTGCTGCACTCGCGTAAAATAAACGTCCTTCATAACCCGCTGAACTGTGAACGGGAAATTCGCGTTGCAACTTCCCTTATGCTCTTCCTACTATTTGCATCAGAGGCATTGAAAATAGCTTCTTTATTTTCCGCTGTTCAAATACATACGTTAAGGAACACTTCAATTTCGTTACAACGCAGAACAACTTTACAGTCCAGGTGACGACCAGGAAAGCGCTGGGAAAAAACTCGTGCTGCCTCCCTAGCAATGCGCATATACTCCCCATAAGTAATCATCCTTTTGGCATAATCAGAGGAGGAAAACATAACATACAGTCGAACAAATATTTTACATATTATAATATGCTCTCTAAAAATGAATTAGTCAAAAATGACTAATTTAAAAGTTATTAGTGACTGCTTTTTCACTTGTACCATGGTTAACCATGAAATAACATGGTATCTCAAAATTTAACAGTCAATTCTCATGTAAAATTGTCCCCTGAATCTGAAAATGTCATCAAAAGTTAAAAAAGTAGAACAGTTTTTGAGATATAGTCAATTTTACATTTAATATGGAATTGACTATATCCTTAAAACTGCTCCACTTTCATAATTTTTGACGGTATTTTCGTATTCAGGGGACAATTTTACATATGAATTGGCTGTTAAATTTTGGGATACCATGGTATTCCATGGTTAACCATGGTACAAGTGAAAAAGCAGCCACTAATAACTATTAAATTAGTCATTTTTGACTAATTAATTTTTAGAGAGTGAGTACATTAGATGCACAACTCTGTATTTGCAGGATAATTGATTTTAAGAAAAACACGAAAACCCGCTTATAAGATCATTTTTGAAAAAAAAAATGCAAACATTGTATAGACGTGCTTTTGTATAATTTCTTATTCAAAAAAGTAAAAAAAAACAAAACAAAACAAAATATACTCTAAAAGCAGCCATAAAAACAAATAATACAACATATAACACACTTAAAAATACAAAACAACGTTAAGACATATTGGAAAAAAACGGAGTATACAAATTAACCTGTAACGATTGCAAAGCCGTAAATATAGGAGAAACAGGAAGAAATTTTAAATCTAGGATAAAAGAACACATAAATAATAATAATCACAATTCTAATTTTGGCAACCATTTAAAAGAAACAGGACACCACTTTAACATAAAAACAAACACAACAATTATGCACATACAGGAAAAAAATCACAAACTAACACTTCTGGAAGCAAATGAAATCTATGTACAAAATAAAAACAAGGAAGTACAGTGCCTAAATGAACAAGTAAACCTATTTTCCACACCTATATTTAAACACTTATAAATGACTTTACGTTGAAAGTACCTATAAACATTTAAAGGAAATACAACACCGCACTACACTAACAACAAATATCCCAACATAACCCTAATATTTCTAATCGTGTTTTCATTTATTTATAATTTATTTGTTCAGTCTGAAATGACTTTGATATTTGTTAACTATATACATACAAATGTTTAATATTAATCTGTATATTTTATTTAAATGACGTTTAAGTATAATGTTTAGATATTAATCATAATTATGTTTTTAAAACTATATTTCTGTAGAAACCCTGAGGATGACTATAATAGTCGAAACTAGTCGGTTTTGAAAATAAAAAATTATACAAGCAGGGAAGTGCCTTATTCATTTAGAAGAATCTCCTTAATATATAAACATACCACTGCTAAAATGGATTACATAATAAAACAAAAAAAATAAAAAAAAATCCTTTAAAATTAAGTAGTTTAGTAAATAATTTAAATCAAAAGATTTAAAAACATAGTTTTGCATCTTCCTCGTTCAAATACCAAGTTTTGCAAGTGAAAAGTGCAAATACCAAAAAATAACAATTAATCAGGTGATTGTTATGTCGTCACGTAATGCGACGTGATTGGTCTACAGCAAATACCGAGTTTTGCATCCTACAGGAAGACACAAATACCCAGTTTTGCATCTGCGTTAAGTTTATAAATGTATTTTATTCTACAAATATTAACTTATGCATCTGGTTTACAGTTATGTACATAAATAGGATAAAATATATATTTTTTAAAAATTTGCAAAAACCGAGTTTTGCATCTAATGTACTCATATCAAGTATCCTAGCGATTTAAATAATTCCCTATTGTCATGTATTGGCGTTTTTTATTAATGTTATGGGACACCCTGTATAGATACTGAATATTTTGATGAAATGCAGAATGTTTACATAATGGATTTAAACCCAAATATCTACTTTGTGAAATTTCTATACTTCCACAGTATCCATTAAATAATACTTCAGAGGATTACTAACATACTCTAAACTTTTAATCGCTGAAAGTTTCCATGTTGTAGCATACGTATACCTATGGATAATAAACCATTTACTTTCGAATAATTAAAACCGCACCTCGGCGCCGCGACGCGCGTCGTCATGGTTTTCTACCAGGCAATTTGCTAGCTCGTAAGCCTTCTCCCATGTTTTCCAATGAAGTTCCCGATAAATTATTAACTCGTTACATTGCTTATACGTAAGTAGATGAAAAGGCGAGATACATTTAATTACTTTTGTTACAGTAAACTCAAGAGTGCTGAGAGCAGCCGATGGCAGCACTACTACCACCACCGCCACCCCAGATGATGACGACGATGACTGGGAGGAAGAAGATTCTTCGGAAATTGATGATGATGGAAGGATTTATAAGAACCCGAGGAATTCACCTTCCACGTTGTGTCCGAGAGACGAAGAACAAGCTACTCTACTGGTAATAAAAATCTCATTTTTATTATTATTATTATTATCATCATGTATTTTGGAAACAAAGAGTTTTCAGATACTAGTAATGTTTTCGCGATATTAATGGATCACCCTATATACTAAATAAACTAAAAAAAAAATAATCATAGTTTAACAGCTTAAAATATTTTTTATACTCCTACCTTTAAAACGCCCTTTATCGTACATGTTTCCATGACACTAAGTGACCTTTTAAATACACATTGACAAGTTGTGGCTTTAGTCACGGGCTGAAGTTAGTTTGAAGTTAGTTGACAGTTGTCAAATGTCATACAATCGTTAAAATAAAGTGCCTTTCTTGTAAAATAATACTAAATGTGAAAATTATTTTATTATCTTAATACAAAAATACAAAAGTATTAAATAGTTTCTCAACGCCAATATTTGAAAAGTTTATATGAACATTGTACTGACCTTTTAATTTCGCCGGCAGTAAACTATAACTTAAATTCGGGTTCTTTACTTTCACTGTGAAAAACTGTCAATTTTCAAGAAATACATTTCGATTTATAACCATTATATATAATTTATAATTTATTTTTATAATTATAAACACAATTATAATTGTGTTTATAATTATAAAAATTTGACATTTGATGGTTACACACAGATTCCCAACAAATTTTTGATTTAAATCATTTTAAGATAATAATAAGTATTTGTCGTAGAAAAAGTATAGTATGCACCTCGTTTATAAACTTTTCGCGTTTATCAAACTTGATACATACCATACTATTTTCCACTCGCATCTTTAAAACGCCCATTATCGTACTTGTTTCCATGACACTACAAGTTGTGGCTTTATGGCGTTTTAGTCACGGGCTGAAGTTAGTTTTAAGTTAGTTGACAGTTGTCAAATGTCATACAATCGTTAAACAAAGTATCCTTGTGAATATTACTAAATCTCAAAATTATTTTATTATCTCAATACAAAAATACAAGTATTAAATATTTTCTCAACGCCAATAATTGAAAAGTTTATAAGAACATTGTATACTGACCTTTTAATTTCGCCGGCAGTAAACTAGATTTAACTTAATTTCGGGTGAAGACACGAGCGAAGCTCACTTCACTTTTTCCTAATTTATGATAAAGCTACACAGTTAAAAATTTATAAAATTTGTGTTAAAAATAATGCGTGTTTAATAAAAAATGTAAAAATTTGCATTAACTTCCTATTGTTTATAACATAAAAGATATATGTTACTTGGCACAAAAATTATAATAATTAAAATCTTAAAATTTCAAAAATTTAACAAACATTAATTTGTTAACACAAATAAGAATGTTAAATATTTTTTTTTGTACATTGTAGTATAATAATATAGTTAATGTTACGAGAAAATTATGCTAAGTTCAATATAATACATTAGTTTAAATAACTCCTAAACAAGTGTTAATTTAACTCAAAAATATTTGAGTACAGAACATTTTTAATCAAATTAAAACAATTGAGGAGCATCCGTGCAAAACCGGCTATATCCACTTTAATAAAATGTTGGGAAGATGGCAAAAACTCTCGGTTTCCTGGCCTTTACAGATAAAAGAAAAAGCAAACTTGAGTTTTGTGGTCTTTGTGGTACTTGATTTATAAGACAAACTTTCGTTTTCAAAAACTTTATATTAAGGCCAAAATTTCAAAAAGTGTTTTGTATATAGCCGGTTTTGCACAAAAACCAAATGAAATGGGGAAAAAAAAACCTTTATTATTCAAAAATATTAACAAAATAAATTTAGTGCAAACATGAAAAAACAGAACAAATTTTAGTAGTAGTATTGACATATCCAAGCCACATGCTCATCATCATTATTATTTATTGGATATAGCCGGCTTTGCTATAAAAACGTGGATTTGGCCGGTTTTGCTCCTAAAGCTACCTTTTAAATGTGATTTTAACATGGATATAGTCGGTTTTAAACAGAATTATCTTGGTTGTCGATAGAAATGAACCCAAAGATGCGAAATCAGAAAAAAAAACAAAAACTGAATAAAATGGATTTAGCCGGTTTTGCACGGATGCTCCTCAATTGAGTATTTTTTTTATTCAATTCAACTTAAATATAAATGTTATTCTTCTAATTCGCTCATTTTCGCATTCTTTCGATTAAAATCGGTACCTTGCAAGGCCCTTTGCTTCTAACCGCGTTTAGTCGGTTGATGATAGTTAATTCGATTAGAGGTTCCTAATTGTAAGGTTAAGTGTGCTTTTATGTGTGTTAAACAAAATTTAAAGGTTAGTTTGATATAATATTTTTTTTTTTACTTACATAACGTTTATATCCCCAAAAATGTTTGAAGACCGTTTACCCTATGGCATGGATTTGTATTTTATTTTGGAATACAAAAAAAAGGACTGGACTGCGCAATTTTAGTAAATTCCTATGCTTCATTGCTGGCCTTTTTTTAATATTATGTTGTAGTATAATAAATCATTATTATTACATACTTACATGTTTTAAAGTTTAAAAAAAATTAAATTGACACAACACGATTTATTAAATTAACTTTGCAGTTATGTAAAACAAAAAAACATATATTATTTTTTTTTACACATTCTGTTGTGTTCAAAATTAACATAAGTAATAAAAATAAAAAATATATGTACATATATATTTTTTACTGTGTAACTTCAGCCAGTGACTAAAATGCCCAAAAAACACTATTGCTAACTTCAGCCCGTGACTAAAACGCCATAAAGTCACAGTTCGTCAATGTAGAAGTAGATAAAAAATATTATTGATTAATTGCAGGGTCAAAAATGTTTAAGAAAGTGTTCTTCCGATGAAGATTGCAAGAGTAAGAAGAAGAAGTGTTTGTGTGATGGAGCTTGTGGAATGTCCTGTATAAAACCAGGTAAACGAATATTTTATTATTTACTTCGTAAAATTTCCAAAATTTCCTTTAATGATAAACTAACGTAAACCCGATTTAAATTTTCGAACGTGTATGAGGAAAAGTTTTATAAATCTACAAAATATCAGCCTTTTTATTTTTCTTTTAATATTACTATATTTATATTTAATACATCGAGGGACGTCACACGCATAAATCCTTTTCCTTCGAAGGGGATAGCAAAGAAAATTGTTCTGCCAAATTTCATATAAATCATGGTAGTTGATAAATCGAAATTTATTAGGTAAAACCCAGAAAATTCATAATATATTTTTTCCATAAATAATGTATAAAACCGGTATTTTTATCTGATAATTTCCCCACTTTATGAAGATACGGAAAGCTTTTTTAAACTGAATCTTAATCGATATATCGGAAATCCTTTTGATAAATTAGGTAGGTATGCCCACCTAATTCATCAAAAGGATTTGCTCGAACGACAGCTCGAAAAAACTCGAAGAATTTCCCCCGACATGTGGAAGGTGTTGTGTTACTTTTCTTTAAGTTCAGAAAACAAGGCGGATTTACTTTTTGCCTGGGAAACATTACGTATGATAAATGATGCGATAAAATGTGCCTTTAATGAAATATCTTCATTGTTTCCAATTTTATATAACGATAACATATACTCTAAAGAAGTATCGCTAGTAGCGCCACCACTCGGCTGTTATCATCGTAACAAAAGTACAACTTTTGATAATCAGCTATCAAACGCGTGTGTTACAAACGAGTGTTCTTGAGAATAAAGCCGGAAAATTTTAAAAAATATCGAAAACAAAACCGTGGCTCGATTTGTTGTGTTGTTGGGTGTATTTCGAGAGGAAATCCTGTGTTGAGTTTTTATAGGATTTCCAATAAACAGTGTTAATCCGAATGAAGAAATAAATTTCATACAGTCCCTGTAAATATAAATTGTATCTATTAGATACAATAAATACACATTTTAGTAGTCATTAACGTGAAAAGTGTAAACATTTCAATTCAGTAAAAATCGTCAAACAAATAAGTCGTCTAAATTTAAACAGCATTTAGCATTATTAAAACCGTTGATTAAGAATTCTTTAAAGTATCCAGTCAACGGTAAAATACCATTATATTATGTATTATATCGACCCATGCAACGAAGACTATAGTAACTCAAAAAACGTGGGTTTTGACCACAGACAGACAGACTGTGGTTTTGACTTACTATATGGCATCATCAAGCTCTATTTGGTGGAAGATTACAGTAACTCAGACATGAAACGATAGGCAACCAGTGAACAACTTCCCTGTATAGTAAGTGTAATAATCCACATTCCTACAGGAAAAAAACTATATTAAGTTGAGTTACTCTAGTCTACAATCAAAACTGAGTTACAATAGTCTTCGTTGCATGCGTCGATATGTAATATTATGTTGCCATGAGGAAATTGTAAAAGTTAATATTAAACAAGTCGTGGCTGTATAATCACAGGATTAAAGCCAATTAAATTAATAAAAAAAAAAAAATGTTGCCATGAATTCGTAGGTATATTTTGTTGTTTAAAATGCAGTTGTCGGCGTTTTTTAGAGAAGTCAAATAAAAAAATTAATGATTTTAAGGTTATGTTTGTGCAAAAATTATTTTTTAATAATTTCTTAAAAATGTCCAAACTTAAATATAAATTATATTAGGTAAAGTTATCATTAGTTAATTCTGCACCAACAAATGTACTTGATGAAAATGCAACGAATTTTATTTACAATTAAAAACACAATAATTCACCATGATCCCTTAGATTAAATACACACACTAACGTAACTATATAAGCATTTAAGCGTTGAGTTTCTTAATCATTGATATAAAGAATAATCAATCGAAATCGAGTACTAAACCAGTTTTTTAGTTTTTTCCTTGCAACGTAAAACACAAATAACGTGGGTGATTTAGCTGTGTAATTGAACAAAATTTGTCGAGTAAGACTTTTGCCTTCCTCTCTTTTGTGAAAAAACCACCTATTTATTTAAAAATTATGTACTATGCTCCACACCTCAAAGTCCCACCACGTGACCACGTACGGAACGCAGTCTTTTGAAAATTTGGCATTTAAGGCTTTTCAGGTTATGTATCTGTCAAAGTATAGTCAATGAAAGAAATAATATTTATAGTGTTAGCGCTTATGTTTAAGCGTTAAAAGTTAATAAATCTTTATAGTATCACAATAACAATGGTTGGTTTAATAATTTAGGAACATAAATACTGCATTTAATCAAATTCCAAAGTGTAAGGTGCAATATAAGTGATATTTTTGTGCATTGGGTCTACATTTCTCCCTAAAATATTTTTAACTAAGCATTTATTAAAAAAAACTCTAACTTCTCTATTATAAAATAAAAATATATGTATCAAAGGTAGGTTAATGTATAAGAACAAAAAATATCATCTAATTTTGTATTTTAAGTTTAGAAAAATCTATTTTGACCAAAATAAATCCGTGGATTATTTGAAAGAGTGTGTTAATATGCTCATAAATAAATGTAGGTATACTAAATAATTGTTGAATATAGTTCAAATTAAATTGAAGCTTTTATACTTCTAACGACAAAACTTGTGCATAGCTCTCGGCATACTTACTTTAAGTTAGATTATAAGAAAACAAACAATTTTTAGAGAAACTTGCAATGTGAAAATGTTTAATACTCCCATGACATGTGAGTTATTAAAAATTTTAAAGTTATAATAATTTTTTGATGTAGATCAAATTCAGTCGAAGCTTTTTAACTATTTGTATTGACAAAACTTTATGTAGGTACACTTTAAGCTGGATAAGAAAAACTACCACATTTTTAAATACCATATTATACAGTATTTTAAATAATCCAAAATACTTATTTATTTTGGTCAAAATAAATTTTTCTTACCTTAAAATTACAAAATTAGATGATATAAACATAATATTAAAGCCTTAAATGCCAAATTTTTAAAAGACTAATTTGTACACCCAAAAACAAAGAGTTTGCTAAATTTAACGTCGTAAAATATCCCATCCTTACTTGCCAAATCCTTTCTCGCGCGAATCCATCAACCTCGCCACTTTCCCGCGGGAAAAACTTTCCTGCGAAGCTTAAATTGCCTGGTGTGTATCTTTTGCAGATCGGGAATGCCCCGAGCCCGAGGAAATCGCCTTCGGAAGCGTGAGCGCGAGCGGTCGCCTGTTCGGCGCTAGGGCCACGTATTCCTGCCAGCACGGCTACCACGTGGTCGGGCTGCAGAGCCGATCCTGCCAGGCGGACGGGAAGTGGGCCGGAACGGCGCCCGCCTGCAAACAGAACAGTAAGTCCGCGACGCTTTCACATGCTAATGCGATGTTTGTTCGATAAAGTTTAATGTGGAACGTGACGAAAAAATAGTGTGACAAAGTTTAATAGGGTTTAGAGGAAAGTCGCCTAGATTCAAGTAGGCGCCTAATTTCGGATAGTGGTGTATCTTTGAAACTAATCAAGTCATTAAACGGAAATTGAATCTAATGCAATCTAAAAAGTCCAAGCAAGCATTTAGATGTTTAGATGTTATTTAGATGATACTAATCACTCGTAAACATCAGAACCACGTTTCGTAGTTTTTTATCATAGTAATAACTAGGGATGGGATTTTAGATATTTTACTGTTGTTGTTTAGATATTAAAGAATTGTCGTACTGTGTGCTTTTAAAACAGATTTTATATTATAATATAAAATCTGTTTTAAAAGCAATTTTTTAATATCTAAACTACAAAATTCCTTAGTTCCGCCAACTTAGAGTGGACAGACAGTACCTTTTTTCAACCGATGTAACTATTTAAAAACCAATAATGCCAAAATGTGTTTTAAAAGATTTTCTTTTGTATGAACCTAACTTGTTTTCACCTTTTTTACCTTTTCTTTAGGTTTTTGCTTTAAACTGCCTTTTTATACTCTTGTTACCTATTTTTTTAACTTGTTTTCACCTTTTTTACCTTTTTTTTGGAGGTTTTTGCTTTAAACTGCCTTTTTATACTTTTGTTACATATTTTTTAATTTGTCAGTTTATTTCCACCTATTTGTTACCTATTTTTACGTATTTTTACTTATTTTATTTTTTTGTGTTCTTTTTAAATTTTCCGCCAATATTTTATACAGGGAGTGCAACTCAACAGTATAGAATTTTTTCTTATGGTCACAGACTGTAACAGTAACTACCTTCTTTGTACTGAGCTTATGTTCTGTCATAGTGAGTGTCACTCAGTTTATTGCATAGAAATAGTTTATTGTGGGTATGTTCTGTGTTTGGGTATGCGGCTAAACAAAATTATAAAAATGCCCAAAACCAAAGAAAATCCTCTAAATAAACTCAGCAGTTGGATAGAGGGGAAGAATAAGATATTTTCTATTGACAGAAAAACTTATTTTGTATACTCTATAGAGTTCGCTGTAAAATTGTAAGGACTTTGAGGTTATGTTTAAACATCTTTCTTTTAATTTGTATACATTTTAGCTATCTGTTACTCTAGTAGTAAATTTGGTAAATATCAGGTATTCCCTGTTATATTTTCAGTTCCTTATAGCTTTAATTAACTATTGGTCAGTTTATAAAAAAATATTTTATGTTACTTATTTTATAAAAATAAACGAAACTTGAACTTTTCTTTTTTTACCTAAAATGCTGTTTTTTTAACCTAAAATGCTTTTTTTAGTACCTTTTTAGTTACCTATTTTTCAGTTTTTAGTACCTAAATATCCCATCTTTAGTAATAACATAACATAAGTGGTTCTGCACTAATGCAAGAGTTTTAAGAAATCATACATTTTGATTATTAGAGCTTCACGGAAGATAGCTTCACGGAGGTTAGGATTTCGTATGTTTTTTTAAACATCCCTTTGTATATTTGAAATAAGTTATTGTATCTTTTGACATCTTAATATTTTTTTAAAATACAATGGTACATACATAAAATATTTATAAAAAAAATCTACTTACTGAGATATTACACTTCACGGTGGATAGGTTTTTAAATAGTAAATTAATGAACTTAAACTTTTGAAGTATAAAACAGCAACACTCTCATCTGCACATAAATTCTAACTGACCTTCAGGAATCACATGCAGCTATAATGTCGTAAACAGAGGTTTTTGCTTATTTAAAATGATTAAAGCGCCATCCGTTGCAGATAATTTAAAGCAAAAACAGATTCACGGAGGATAGAATCAATTTTTGTAACACCTACATAAATGGTTATAAAAATTATTTCTTTTAATTTTTAATAATATTTTATATTTGATTCGATTGCTTTGGATGTGTATAATTTACTTAGTGCACTGATATTTTTAGTATTATTTTACTATCTCAGATATTTGAAAACATATACATAACATAGGTTAATATAGAAAGAGTAACAGTCACGGAGGATAGGTTTTAGACTTTTAAAACATTGTAAAAAATAATTAATTGCGGTTAAAAAACTGGAACCTGAGCTGTAATATCTACTTAATTATGAAAGATCAAAACACAATAAAAGTGTAGGTCGAACTCATTTAGTTTTTTATTGATAAAAAAACAATTATCAAAAATTACAGAAATATTACAGACAAAAAGTTTTTTAATAACAGGTGTCAATAATGACAGAAAACAAATGGCGAAAATTAACACCTGTTATTTGTCAATTTGACGCATGCCATCTTTAATTTTTAACTTGTTTTATCTGACATTTTTTACATTTGCCATCTGTCATTTTTATTACCTGTCAACCCTCATTTTTTGTCGTTTTTGTCATCTGGCATCTGTAAATGACATCTTTTTTAAGAAATGATATTTTTGGTTTGCAAGTAAATTTAATATAAAATTTAATCTTATTTTAATGGGGAAAATTTGCGGCGGCCATTTTAAAAAGGCGAAAAATGGGTTTTCCGCATCATTAACCCGTTAACCTCGGCGCACTTAATTTCCGTCTGTCGTCTTTAATGATGCAAGATTGTGTGTAAAAAGGGAAAAGATATAACCGAAAAGGCAATTTACATAAATTTCACATTTTACCACTTTGCCTTTTAAACACATGTCCTATCTTAGAAGGATACTAATAAAAAATATACCCAGTGCAACTTTTACAATTTTTAAGAAAGACATTTTATTTTCTTGCTGTTTTATTTATTTAAATACAGTGTTGTTACCTCCGGTGTTACATTTCTAATTTCTGCAGTTATAAATTCATCTAAATTAGCAGCTGTATAGGAAAAAGTCTAGAGGTGTTAGATCTGGTGATTATGCTGGCCATTCTATGAAACCACAGACTTTCGATCTACCTATGTGGTACGCATTGTTTTTTGAAACGGTAGCTATCACTATCACTATTGGCACACTATTACATGTGAAAATTGCACTAAATGTCGAATTAAAAATAAATTACAGGTAAACGATGTGAAGCCTCAAAAAAACTACAACAAAAAACTCTTATACAAATTAATTTTTTTACGTTTAACGTTTAACTTATATAAAAAAGGGGGTTGAAATTAAAAAAAAAAGTTGGCCTTCTTGGGGGGCTTTGTATTTTTTTTAAGTTGGCAATATCACCGCAAATTTTGAAATAAACTGCCAAATAATTTTTATTAATAGTTATTTATGTATCAAGGCAGTAAAGTCGTATTATTTATCACGAATGTGGAGATTGTTTGCCGAGGCGAAAGCAGAGGCAAATAACCACGTGAGTAATAAAAAATGACTTTAATGCCGCGGTGCATAATATTAAATTTTATCCGAAATCACATTTAATAATACTAATAATTAATATTGATAATTAAATCAAATGTCATTTGAATGTGGGAAGTGTCTACGTATACTGTTTGTTGCGACGGTTATTATATATTTGCCCGCCGCGGCGATTTTTTCATCTAATAATAAATAATAATAAAATTAACTTATTATTTTTATTAAACAACATTTTATGAAAGGGTCCAATCGACCTCCGTGACTGTGCTTTTTCAAAAATATTATTTAGTTGCTGCTGAGGAGCAGTAGACACATCTTAAAATGTATAATGGGTTGCATACAATACTCGTATTAAATCGGCAGTAAAGTTCTACTTTTCAATCAAAATTTTTTACACGGAGAGAAAAGTATAATGCTGATTACCATAATTATAATACCCTTTACTATAATTTATATTACAATTTGGGACAACTATCTTGTATATTGCCAGATACTATGCATATTTGGTAATTTTTAAATATCCATCTATGTTAAACCTTAAGGTAAAATATTATTATTCTCAACCAATTTTGTTTTTAATTCTTATTATAATTAGATTTTTTTCATTACTAATAAGTAAAGGAAATTTAAAAATATTATGTTGCCATTTTAAATATAAAATATTTTAAAATCGAATATTTTTATATGTTAACAATTAAAAAATGTAACATATTTATTGTACTTTTTAATATACAAAAATGTTATGAGAAAGAATTAAACCTACACCTCGCCAAAGGTTTTTGTTTTGAGTGCGTTCCATCAACTTCAAATACCGACAGACAGGTGTTTTGACCTATATTGGGTATCATCAGTGTCGACACGACACTGTCGAGCAACTTGTAGTGGTGGAACACACCCAAAACAAAGAAATACCTGAGCTTATATAACATGGTTGGTAAGCCAACAGAGGCGAGATGTAAGAACATCACGTGATCCAAACCGTCTAACGACGCGTCGCGACGTGGCCTTTGCCGCAATCAGTACATACTATGCAACCAAGTAGGTTCAATTCTTTCTTATAAGTATTACCAGTAATGGGTCAAGAAAGTTTATTGAAGAAACTAAGAACATTGAATGTTTAAAATGTCATGAGTTACTATATTGTATATTATATTTAAATATATTGTTTATTTACCTTAAACATAAAAGTATCTTTATTTTTACTATATTTTTTATTAATGTGTAATTTATTATAATATTAGATGTACATCTTACATTTGATTAAATTATATAGTAAATATTACTATTTGTAGATAGTAAAATCAATTTACTATACGAACATATTAAAAATTAAAATATGTATTATACATTTATGATTTAGTAATATTGGTGTATTTTGTATTACAATCTTAATATTGTATTGACGAATATATAATATTGCTACCCTAAAAATTTGTTAAAGTAAATTTTACTATATTTTTTTACTATCTAAAATTTACTAAACATTTCTCTCCGTGTAATAAAGAAACATTTTTCTGTGATACCATTATTCCATCGAACACACAATTCCATTGTAGTCGTTGGTGTGACGTATGCATAGATGTCCAAAGCACGTTTGATTATTTGCAGTTTATTGTCTAAGTCCTCCGACTATCGACCATGCAAGACAGAACGCGCTTGCAGAACAAACCACTTTCGACTTGGACTCGACACTGCAATACTACTGCCACACAGGCTACGTGACTAATGGATTTCCCAGGGCGAAATGCTTGGCAATAGACGGACAAGCCTCCTGGTATGGACCCGATATATCTTGTGAACGTAAGTTAATACCTTTAAGTTAATGCACGACATTTTGTAGTATGGGTCATTCCAGTTATTTTTAAGTACTATGCTCCACACCTTAAAGTCCCACCACGTAACCACGTACGGAACGCAGTCTTTTGAAAATTTGGCATTTAAGGCTTTTCAGGTTATGTATCTGTTAAAGTATAGTCAACGAAAGAAATAATATTATGTTTAGGCGTTAAAAATGTAAAAATCTTTATAACATTACAATAACAAAGGATGGTTTAAGAATTTAAGAATAAAAATACTGCATTTAAAAAAATTCTAAAGTGTATGGTGCCAAATAAGTAATATTTTTGTGCATTTGGTCCAAATATCTGGTTTTCTCCATAAAATAATTTTAACTAAACAGCATTTATTTAAAAAAATCTAGCTTCTCTTTTATGGAATAAGAATATCTGTATTAAAGGTAGGTTAATATATTATAACAAAAATATCATCTAATTTTGTAATTTTGAGGTTGGAAAAATTTATTTTGACCAAAATAAATAAGTATTTTGGATTATTTAAAAGACTGTATAATATGGTATTTAAAAATGTGGTAGTTTTTCTTATCCAGCTTAAAGTGTACCTACATAAAGTTTTGTCAATACAAATAGTTAAAAAGCTTTGACTGAATTTGATCTACATCAAAAAATCATTACAACTTTAAAAATTTTAATAAATCACATGTCATGGGAGTATTAAATATTTTCACATTGCAAGTTTCTCTAAAAATTGTTTGTTTTCTTATAATCTAAATTAAAGTAAGTATGCCGAGAGGTATGCACAAGTTTTGTCGTTAGAAGTATAAAAGCATCAATTTAATTTGAACCATATTCAACAATTATTTAGTATATATACTATATATATAGGTTAATGTATTAGAACAAAAAATATCATCTAATTTTGTATTTTAAGGTTAGAAAAAAATAGATTTTTCTAACCTTACAATACAAAATTAGATAATATTTTTTGTTCTAATACATTAACCTACCTTTGATACAGATATTCTTATTTCATAATAGAGAAGTTGGATTTTTTTTAATAAATGCTGTTAAAACTATTTTATGGAGAAATGTAGACCCAATGCACAAAAATATCACTTACACTTACACTTTGGAATTTCATTAAATGCAGTACTTATATTCCTAAATTCTTAAACCAACCATTGTTATTATGATACTATAAAGATTTATAACGCTTAAACATAAGCGGTAACACTATAAATAATATTTCTTTCATTGACTATACTTTGACAGATACATAACCTGAAAAGCCTTAAATGCCAAATTTTCAAAAGACTGCGTTCAGTACGTGGTCACGTGGTGGGACTTTGAGGTGTGGAGCATAGTACTTTGAATAAAACAACACTTACTTTTTATTTAGGTATCTCGAGGTTTCCGTGGTTTTTCAGTCGATTTTCAATTTCACCTTTCACTTTTTACGTCGATTGATGCTCATGTAGCCATTTTTTAAGTGTTCCACAAAACCATAATAAATGTTTAACTATCCCGCCGTTGTTATCCACACAAAGTTGACAGCTGCGTAGAAGATTCTTGTCTTTGTCTCTCTTGCTATCATATCCGGACGTTTTCGGGTTTCATCTGCCGCTGCAGTGACAAGTTCGCGGAGTTGTTCTAATGTGTCAATTTTTTTATTAAAAAACAGTAGCTCTAATGCAAGTATGATAGTGTACAAACTATTTTGGCGTGTACTACACCCTGTAGGTATATAAAATTGTAAACCCTAAAAAATATGTATGCAAATTGTTTTAAATTATAATAAAAAGGCGGTAGAGTTCCTTTGGGTCTTCCTAAAAGTCAAAATTTAAAACATATTTAATATTTATCTGCCTCTAAAAGACCTTGGCCTAAGTTCTCCTGTATCCCAACCACCTAACCATGTTTAATTTATCGAAGTTTACCAGCGGCACAAGAAATTTCAGTATTTATAAACCTTGTTGGCTTCACCTTTATTAAAAATGAAATATATATTTCCTTGGAATTATGAAGGCTTTAATAACGAATGAGTTGGATGCCCTAGTTGCTCGATCTCTCAAAACTACCTCAGTTTCAGGTAATTTTAATATTTTTTATCAGAAAAACGGGATTTGAAGTATAACTTACGTATTCTGAAAAGTTTAAAAATAATAGATTTTAAATAACACTGCATATAGAACTTCCACTGTCAATTATATATATAGGTAGATATGTACGAGGTGTGTTCAGAAAATATCGGGAATTTTCGTTTTTTGAAACAAATATTTATTTATTCGTCTACATTAATGTTTTCGCCTTCAAAATAGTCCCCATTGGATATTATGCACATGTGCCAGCTCTTCTTCCAATACTCGAAACACTTCTAAAACTCCATCTTTAGGATAGCCTTTAGTTCTTTCAGCGATGCGCTTTTAATGTCATCTATGCTTGCAAAACGACGGCCTTTTAAGGTTCTCTTTATTTTTGGGAATAGGAAAAAGTCAGACAGAGGCATGTCTGGCGAATATGGAGGCGGGGCATCATTACAGTATTGTTTTTGGCCAAAAATTTTGTTCAAAATTTAACAATTTTAGAACAAATTTTGCTGCCACGCGTTTCATAACTAAAACATTCGAAAAAATTTCATGGGATGAGCCAATCGATATACCAACATCATCAGCGACTTCTCTGATGGTTTATAACCATTTCTTCCACTTTTTCCATGTTTTTATCGGTTGTTAATGTGCTTGTGCGTTCGGGGCGTTCGTCATCTTCAACGTCTTCACGGCCATCTTGGAAACTCTTATACCACTTGTAAACTCTTGTTTTACTTTATTTCATTTTTTAAGCAAAATTGGATATAAAGTCTTTTATCCATTTCTTATAACGAACGAAAAATCGCCGAGCTCATAAAACACGTCTAACCTTAGCGGCTGCCACAGACAAAGTAAACAATGAAAACAGCTAAAGTTTTTATCATACTTCGGGGGCATGTATACCAACATAATAAAGAAAATTTTATGACAACCGGACCCTCTGAACCCGCGAAATTTAACAATTCCCGTTATTTTCTGAACACACCTCGTAGAATAGCTTTTTTTCAGTGTGGTGGACTTTCTTCTTGACTTTCAGTAGACTTAAAATTTCGCATATAATCTTATAATATAAGATATTTTCTTGTGGGTCACCATGACACTTTTTTATATGTGACCATTTTTGTTGCATTAAAGACATATATTTTTTTACAGAACTTGCATTGAGGATGGTTTTTTTTGCACTATTTTGTAATAATTTCAAATATAAGATTTTTCTCTTAGCATTATACTGTACCTATAAATAAACAACAAAAACGTTAGAATGATTTTAACTTTGTTTATTGTTTTTATTTTGTTCACCTTTTAAAAGACTTTTATGCAAAGGGTTTTTACAAATGATTTATTAATTTTGATGATGAGATCTTCAACAAACTGTTAAACAATTGATATTTGAATAAAAAAATGTTTCCAGTAACTTTAAAAGAAACTTTCAAAATGAAAATAAATTTCCAAAATGGAAACTTTTCCTGAATGAAAACTACTACCTACTCATTTAGATGTCATAAAATAAAGAAAACTTATGGAGACATTATGTTAATAAATTTAATATATGAAAATTAATTAATAAAACCATCTTTTAAAATAATCTGTATCTCCTCCAAAGTCTTTCCCTTGGTCTCCGGTACGAAATAATAACAAAATATTGCTCCCAAAAATTCACAGAAAGCAAAAAAATAAAAAGGCACAGATAGGTTGTATTTATACATGGTGTATTGAAGTATTTTTGTGCTTACAAATGTTGAAAATCCACTAGTAATATTAACCAGTGTAGAAGCTTTAGTTTTGATACTTGAAGAGAATAATTCACCCGGCATTAGGTTGACCACACAGCCTTGACCTAGACCTATGAAGATGAAATATAGATTCATTACTAATAAATAAAAATTATTAATTCTGAAAGAGTCTCCAATGAGAAATAATGAAGCTTGTGAAGTTAACATAATACATCCCCCTATACATGAAGTGATTAGAAGAGCTCTTCTGCCTACTTTGTCTACTATTGAACTAACAATTATTGACATAAGCAACAGTATGGACATGCTAATTACAGACGCATAATGTTTTGGCATTACACCGGGAGTTTTTTCGTAAATAGTTTGTAAATATATAATAATTGCTGATATACCACTAAACTGTTGTATTATTTTTAAACCGAACATCACAACACAGGCTCTTCTATTTGATTTTATGTTGTATAAGTTTTTATAACCTTTGGATTCACTCATTTGGCGCCCAACGTCAACTTCCAACTGCATCAATTCTTTATTGACATCCTTCTTCCATCTAAGTTTTCTCAAAGATTCCTTAGCTTTAGCTATGTCAGTCTTCTTTATCAAATAATAGGGACTCTCGGGCATTACAGAGAAAAACAAAATAAAAATCACAGGCACCACTGACAAATACAAAGCACATTCTTGTATTGTCAGCATATAGCCAATGAAATTCACCGATATGCCTCCAGCTAGTAAAAATACTGACATACAAGAGCCCAGGATGCCTCTTATCCCAGGCTCTGAAATTTCACCCACGTATAGGGGTAGTACGGTATAACACCCTGCCTGTGAAATACCACCCAATATTCTAGCAATGTATAGTAATACAATGCTGTACGTTGAGCAATATATCATTAACATCGATGTTATTTGTGGAACGCCTAGAAGCATAATGGTGTTCTTCATTCCAATGTTGTTAGCTAAGATGGGATATAATATACTACCTAAAAAATATACCATGGTATACTACACTCACAGGCAAAATAATCGATCCACACAAATTTTCGATGAATTTCAATCGCAAATAACTTTTTTATTTGATTTCGGATTTAAACAAATATTAAAGAATATTGTAGATACAATAATGGAGAATCGCTCACATTTTAAAAATTACTAAAAAATACACGTACGTTTATAATATAAAA